GTGGTTACTGGAGCCCATAGTCATCTACAACGTAAATGCGCTACCCACCCTGAGATATAAGTTCTAAGGTCTCAGTATAGTTACAACGGCTGCCCCACCCTTCAAACCGAAACGTATTACTGCTTCACGGCAGAAATCCACCCCGCCTGGTGGTGGTACCTACCCGCGCGGACTCAAAAGAGGTCCTACCACCAGTAATTACGCAAATTATAATTTTGCGGGTTTGATTTTTATTACACGATGTTATTCCGATGGCTGTGTACCATTTCTTGTAGGTCCTGCAGCAATCCCGCCATCATGACGATATCATCGGCAAAGCGAAGATGTTAGATGTAAAATTTAAGTACCTACATATAAAATATACATTTTATTCATTAAGATCTACGTGGTTGAAGCAAATTACCCGTTCATCCTTAAACATAATTAAAACTAGTTAGTGGAGAAAATTGGAGAAACTTTGAAAGCCACTGGTCCGGCTAGAGGCAAGGCGACAAACACGCGTTTAAACGGTAGCCCGTCATTTGATTTCCAACCTCAAGTTAATTAAGCCTATTCGAGTAAGTTATTGCTGTAAGGAATTGTCGGTGACTGATAATAAACACAGAACGACTTGTGTATAAATGCATAGCATTTATTTGTTACATTACAGTAAAATGCATAATAACAGGCTCTATACGGGGAAAAGTAGGTATTAAACCTATAAAATTCTAAGTCAAAAATGAAATTTATTACTTAATTTATTGTTGAAGAAAACAGGAAAGCTCTTCCACCGAGTGGAGGTAGCTTTGAAGCATTGGTATAATATGTTTTTTACTAAAATTTCTTTAAAAATGTGGCATTTACGATTCAATGTAATAAAATCATAGCTATCATGCTCTTAAAAAGAAGAAATACTTTTGCATTATTCTACTAAACTAGGCCATTGAAAAAATGTAACTAAATTTAAAAGAGCGGTTCGTGGTTATATGGAATTCTCTAATTGTTAATGTAAAACTCCCAACTCAAACAAACGGCCATACCTCAAGATACGGTCGGTACGTTTTGTGTGTAAATAAAGAAACATAAATGTTAATAAATGTTTTTTTACGAAAATTAGACGGTAGTTAGCACAATATTCAATAGCTGACGGATAACATTTTAGACGTCTGCATGATATTATGGCTTCCATGAGCGACTATAACAATTAATCATCAGGCCGTATGCCTATCGGTCTACAATAAGAACAGATAAAAAAATTGGGGTGACTACAACCACGTTGGGGTCCACTTAAGTCGTCCGTGACCATGAAAACTGATAAGTATTCGAAATGTCAGAAATAATAAAATGAAAAGAATTATCGAGTAATTAAGCCATAAAAGTAGTCTAATTATAAGAATTAATTCCAGTTGAAAACATATCTGAAATTTCTTGAGATTGTTAACGAGATTGGCACACATTAAATTGTGATTAAATATGTAGGTATTTTTATACTTGCGTTCATCCATTTTCTGCCGTGAAGCAGTAATGCGTTTCGGTTTGAAGGGTGAGGCAGCCGTTGTAATTATACTTGAGACCTTAGAACTTATATTTCACGGTGGGTGACGCATTTACGTCGTAGATGTCTATGGGCTCCAGTAACCACTTTTTTTTTTATTGCCGTATAGGCAGACGAGCATACGGCCCACCTGATGGTGAGTGGACGTCGCTCATGGACGTCAGCAATGCCAGGGGCAGAGCCAAGCCGCTGCCTACCACACTTAACACCAGGTGGGCTGTGAGCTCGTCCACCCATCTATGCAATAAAAAAAGCCGATTATTTATTAGTTGAGGCTATGTTTACACAGTATTGCGTATAATCAAAACTCCAACGTTATCCAATAAATGCTTTAAGCGTTCTTAGTAGATTGTAGTTATTCAATCTGCATCAATAAAATACAATTGCTTAAACTCTATAGAAGTAGGCCGTTTCCGAAGTCGTGAGGCCTACCATTACATAGATGGAAGATAATGTTCGTGTAATAAAGTAAATATATGTCGTTTTACTGATTAGATATCTTTAGTCCGCAATTTAAAGCACTTTTTTTGTAATTTAAGGCAAAAATTATGACATATAGCGTGCATTGCAAGGTATGTATAATATATTACTAAAATACAATTTTTCGAACTTTGCTTAGGCTCATGGTGTCAACATTATCATCTGTCTTCGTAGCGATCTCAATGTTACTCTGTAGTAAGATGTCAATTATATGTTTACACAATTTCTGCCAGTTGTAAAACACGATTTGAAATTCCTTTCCGAGTAGTGACTGCGGGTCAAGTAATTATTTACTCACGTATTAACCGCAGATGACGACGTACCATCGAATTCAATATGTTTCCATTTTTAAAGTAGTCTTTAAAGTTTTATGAGCTAAGAGGTTGATTAAATAGTTTTAGTGGCGGCAGGACGTGTTGCAAAAGACATTTGAGGTTCCAATCTTATGTCATATTTTATGTCTATGGATTCTGCGTTACGCGCTCTTTTGATCATCTTAACTAGAAATGAAATCTCATAGTTTTGTGTTTTCAATTTTAATGAAATATGAATACCGGTTACTCATATATCTATATACATAAAAGTGAATTGCTGTTCGTTAGTCTCGCTAAAACTCGAGAACGGCTGGACCGATTTGGCTAATTTTGGTCTTGAATTATTTGTGGAAGTCCAGAGAAGGTTTAAAAGGTAGATAAATATGAAAACGCTCGGATTTAAATAAAAATAACAATTTTGTTGTTCCTTTGATGTGTTCCCCGTCGGACGGATTCCTTTTGTTTGTTTTAAATTTGTTTTATACAAAAGTTAGAGGCACTACGAAGTCTGCCGGGTCAGCTAGTAAAGAATAATAAAGTAACTACAATAAACTATCAGCGATTCTGCTTAAGATGATAAATATTTTATTGTGCTTATTTACCGTAATCTGCGAGGATATTTTATTTTACATATCGCCGTCTCTTTTTTCATATTATACTGAGGCTTATACTTATACGGCTTATATTGAGCGTTCTTACCTCATCATCATTATCCTGCCCTTCTCCCAGTCACCTGGGGTCGGCGCAACATGTTTTCTCCTTCCATACTCTTCTCTCATATACCATTTCTTCGCTCACTCCCCTCTTACCCATATCGTCTTTCACACAATCCATCCATTTCTTCTTAGGTCTACCTCTTCCTCTATATCCTTCCACATTCATAGTTAACACTCTCTTACCAACCTCATTTTCATTTCGTCTCTTCACATGTCCATACCATCCCAAACGCGCACTCCTCAGCTTTTCTGTCACAGGTGCCACTTTCAGACTTCCTCTAACTACTGAACTGAGCGTTATTACCTATTAACCGTTAACTCAGTACTGATGTGAAATTTATAATTCCAAACGTTTCATTACCATGAATCGTTCCATCGAACCACAATCGAACGTAAAACATTTACTGTGAGTTTTATTTTAGTTAAATTATAGAGTGGCGCATAGACGAGTCGCAACCGTCCGAGGCGGAACGACCCAGCATTTTCCGCTACCAAGGAACGCAAGAGAAAAACGCAATGCGTGTCATTTAGTCGATCCCACGAGAGATTAGATTAATTGTTGCCTTATGCAGTACGCTTAATGCTGTGTTTCCTCAATTGACAGGTCTGATTGTCGACTTGTTCTTCTGGGGTGTGTTCGAGTTTTAATAATAGAGTCAAGTCGTAAAATAGGCAGCGTTTGAGTTGATGTCTCGTTTTCTTGAGTGGGAAAATTATGCAAATCATTTCTTGGGCAAATTGTTTCCTCGGAGTCGACTTGGAATAAGCAATAATATTGTACAGAACTGACAGACTTGTTTAGAAATATATTTTATGAAACATGATGTGGCGGTAGCCATCATACAACGCAAGATATTTGCAAATGTCGCTTACGACATTTTCAAGATAAGCTTGCATATATACAAGTTCCGAACAACAACATTTGGACCGTCGGTCTACTGAGCAATATCACCAGCTCGGTGGAAGATATTCCCTTCGTCGTTTAAGACCTCTACAATGATATCCATCAATGGATGCATGTTTATTTCTTCTTTACCAATCTCTGCTCCTCTTTGCCCCTAAGTACAAGTATTGCAGGGTTACCACCATCTTACTAATTTCTGTAGATTCGTGGATTCCAGTCTGAAGCATAGTATGACCACATTACCTTTCAAACTTCTACATATTATGTCTCAAGGTAAACGACGGCATTGAATATCTTCTGGCTGTGGACTCCGGTAACGACATAAAAAGAGACGGAGATAATAAAATGTATTGTAATAAAAACAAAATGTATTGTAATAAAAATAAAATGTATGTATTATAATAAAAATTAAAATTCCTCTCATTCCATAATTCCACATTAACTTGAATTTATTCTACGAATCCATCCATTTTTATTCGCATTTGCATTTGTTATATAGTTCGCATTAACTTCAGAGATGGATTGTTACACGATAACCCTTAGGAACTTCTATACGCTTAAGGCAATTTATGCAAATCTCTTAGATAAAACAAAACGAGCTATTAAATAGCGAAACCATCTGATACAGTTAATAATATAGTAGGAAGCTTGGAAAAAAGTAATTACACACGAAATAATTATTAAAGAACATTTCAGTTCTCAATTTTTATTTTAATACAATTACTGTACACATCACATCAAGAGACAAATAATTATTTACATTTAAAGGAAAATAATAATGTATCCTAATTAATTAACACATTGTTTTTCTTCCGCGAAGACCACAATAATAATTATTATTATTATATGTATTTTCATTACCATCTTTCGACTTTGCTACAAATTTTTTATTTTTTATTGCTTAGATGAGTGGAAGAGCTCACAGCCCACCTGGTGCTAAGTGGTTACTGGAGCCCATAGACATTTACAACGTAAATGCGCGATCCACCTTGAGATATAAGTTCTAAGGTCTCAGTATAGTTACAACGGCTGCCCCACCCTTGAAGGCGAAAAGCATTACTGTTTCACGGTAGAAATAGGCGGGGTGGTGGTACCTACCCGTGCGGACTCACATGAGGTCCTACCACCAGTAAGAATATTAATATACAACATTTCTTCATGATATAACAATTCATTCTGATTCCTCGGCATTGTCTTGACTGAAAGCTTTGGCGGGCGGTTGTAGCATTTTCGTTCGTGTTGCCAGTCTCAAAGTGGCCGGACCGAGGGTATTTTTGGTAGTTCTGGTGGGTACAAGGGGCGGCACGTTTGAAGCTCCGGGTGTACCAAGCCCTGCCTTACCTTCGTTACTAATCAGAGGTACCTGGAACAAAGATTTTCGGAAATATCATTAATGTATAATCTATATCTATTTATATATATAAAAATGAATTGCGGTTCGTTAGTCTCGCTAAAACTCGAGAACGGCTCGAACGATTTGGCTAATTTTGGTCTTGAATTATTTGTGGAAGTCCAGAGAAGGTTTAAAGGGTAAATAAATATGAAAATGCTCGGAATAAAATAAAAATAACCATTTTGTTTTCCCTCTGATGTGTCCCCCGTCGGGCGGATTCCTTTAGTTTGTTTTATATTTATTTTATACAAAAGTTTAGGTCTTTTATTTATCGATTGAGGCACTACGAAGTCTGCCGGGTCAGCTAGTGTATAATACAAAATATTTAAAACATTTTCCATAAAAAAGTCTTAAATTTAAATAAACCATTGCCAGTACTCATATATCAATTGAACCTTATTAATATTCCAAAAAAAAGTACATATTTGATAAATTTGTATTATAGTTAATTTTCAACAATGAAAATCGTAGCATTAAGACAATACTCGTACGCCTTCTGCGTAATTAGATGAAGATAAGTAATTGAACGTTGAAACATAAAAACAACGAACTAGTCTAATTTAGATCCTTAATCCATATGTCAAATTAACATAACCACTATTCTGCGTTAAAATGTAAATAATTACAGTTAATTTAGTACTCGTTTATTCTGTGGGATAATTTACTTAATGCTAAGTTATGTTTTGATGTTCGCTGTTACTTTATAATCATTTGGCGATTATGGAGATTTCATATTAATCTTTTTTTTCTTTTTTAGGACACATATTATTATATGTACATATGTTTGCGGCTAATAACAAAAGTTTGTCTGTCTTTGTATTTAGTTGAAAACGTTTTCGTTTGATTTTATTAATCTTGTAAAAAGTTGAAAAGCTTTAGCTGGCAGTGAGGTTTCAATGAAACGCCAAGAGAACCAAAGTCCTTAGACTTAAGATTTTAAAACAGCCTATAATAGAAAAGATAAAATATTTGCTCAGAATTATTTAAATCTAATTAAATTAAATTTGTTTGATAATATTTTATTAGATAAAATAATCGATAAGATTAGGTTAAGTTAAAATTCGAATGAAATAAAATCCGATTTCGTTGTCGTTGGGTTGCTACCTGAATTGACATTACGTGTGAAAAAAAAAAACAATTTGCCATTGTACCTATACGATTCGAAGATATATATGTTTATTAAAATAGATAGGTATTTTTTGTAATGAACACATTATTGTGGGAATCGGGCGTTATTGTGCATCCACACAATACGGTGGATTGCATAAATTAAGTTCTATTTTCTTTCAAATTAAACTTGATTCAATTCGCCAACTACACGAATATTTTTGGATTGGATTTCGATTGATTTGGATTTTGATTTTTGTTTTGGAAACACTTTCATATATCGGTGCAGCTGTGTCGCTAACATATTTAATACTGATATTTTCAAGCACTAGCCAAATCATCACACAATATCCTATCCCTAAAGACTTTTTATTTATTTAACTGATGGTTGAACTAGCTGACGACTCACCTGGCGTATAGTACTTTTTTTTTTTTATTGCCTTTGTAGGCAGACGAGCATACGGCCCACCTGATGGTGAGTGGTTACCGTCGCCCATGGACTTCAACAATGCCAAGGGCAGAGCCAAGCCGCTGCCTACCGCTACCAAGCCACTGCCTACCGCTCCAAGCCGCTGCCTACCGCTCCAAGCCGCTGCCTACCGCTATCCAAGCTGCTGCCTACCGCTAATAATAATAGTAATAAGCCCATAGATTTTATAACGTTAATGCGAAAGCACATGTCGAAGACTTCATTGTATCGTAGGACAGCTGTCCCACCCTCGAATGAGGAATGGCCTATTTCTGTACTATAAGCTGGATCATGGTACGTACGCGTGTAAACTTACAATACGCCCGACTAACAGAAATTTGCACCATCATAGAGATGGAGATACGTATTGGCGAATGTCTATGCTATTGCGATGCAATAAGTTTACAATCGGACCCTCTCGAAATCTGTTGGTGAAGCAGCTTACAATATAAATATATACAGCTTTCGATATACTGCGGATGAAATTTTAATTTTAAACAAACTTTAAGTACATCTTACGTCAAACAACTCGGGTGTGAAAGAAGTCCAAAGGATTGTGATTTTTAGTGATATTTACTCGATGATATTCCAGTCCGCTCTTGCAGTTTTAAACGCGATTTCTCTTGTGGTGTGGAATTGCAAATGAGTTTAGAGGTTAGGCGGTATTAAGTAGTACTGAAGTATATAGGCATTATAATGTAACTTCCACCGCTAAATGAAACTATCTGGAGCGAACAATTACTTTGCTGTCAAGTAATCCATTACTTTTCTTGATAGTATGGCGTAGTGTAGCCATCATACAATACAAGATAATTGACAGATGCCTGAATCTCGCTTACGACATTTTCAAGAGAAGATTGCATATATAAAAGTTCCGAACAACAACTTTTGGACCGTCGGTCTACCGAGCAATATCATCCGCTCGGGGGAAGATCTTCCTTTCGTCGTTATACCTACAATAGTTTTAAGTTTATGTTTAAGGTTCTACGGCCCCGAAGTAGGGTAGAGGGCTTCAACAGTATTTCGCCATCGCAACCGGTCTTGAGCCTCACGCTTTAATTCGAACCAGTTAGCCCTGGGTCTGCTTGGGACGGTCTACTTTCCGCTAGCCCTGAGGGGTCCATCTAGCATGGTATTCTCTCGGGCTATTTATTAATCAAATGTGAACGTCCCCCACCTTCAACTATCAGTACTACCCATCAACCTTCCTTATGTATAGTATTCTCGATTAGTTTTCCTACCTAACTTTCACTTTTCGTTCTAAATCTATTTTTAATAGTGGCAGAAGTGGCATGTTAGGCGTTCGCGCTGCTTAGTATTATAGACTTACTATTACATAGATAGCGGGACGCAAGAGAACGGTGTGACGGGTAGTCTGGTCCAATTGATCAACCGTGCTTAAATGACGAGCGCACTTTGAGTACGTCTGCTCATCTGTACTAATAAATAAAATCCATAAAAAATTATATTCATTCGATGTCATTCTATGCCATGTGCACGTAATAAAAATTCACCTACTGCCACATAATTTTGCAACTTGTAAAACTGGCGAGTTAAGTGCATTCGAGATTCGTTATCGTGATTGTAAATGTGACTTTGGTACCGAGTAAACAAGCGGAGATAGCGGCGCGATAGATGTTAATGTCGTCTTTTTAACTACGTTCGTGTACACAGAATTATAATGTACCTACTCCCGACGGTATGACGGCCATTAAATAAATATAAAGTGTCATATAAACGTCAACACTGATATTAAACTGTTTAGCGTTTTTGAAATATAGGTAACAAAATTGAGCACATCTATNTTTGGTACCGAGTAAACAAGCGGAGATAGCGGCGCGATAGATGTTAATGTCGTCTTTTTAACTACGTTCGTGTACACAGAATTATAATGTACCTACTCCCGACGGTATGACGGCCATTAAATAAATATAAAGTGTCATATAAACGTCAACACTGATATTAAACTGTTTAGCGTTTTTGAAATATAGGTAACAAAATTGAGCACATCTATATTAATATATATCTAAATGGCAAAATATTCATAATTTCTGAACGTTGTCTGAAATATGTCACTTTAGCCGATACTATCGATCATTAGAACACACTCGTTTATTGTTAGGTAGCTTCATATTAACTTTAGTATTTTTAGTGATTGCTAAATAGTTTCTATTTTGTTTTATACAATTTTTGAATATCGTTAAATTGAAAAGTTTTATTAAAAGTCCCACCAGATGTGTATATCGTAAAAGTATCTTCTTGTTTATTTTTCTGTTCGGACCAAGGGCAGACAAGTTTAAGGTCAACTTGGTGTTTACCGGATAACGAGGGCCGTGGAGATAAGATGTGGACGCCATCGTTCACCTTTAGACAAGAGGTTGAAGTGTCGTTAGCAATTTGAATAAAGGCAATCTTACCTTTAAAACAGAACCAGATTGGTAGCAAAATATACGCGATAATCTTGCTTTAACTGTCACCGTTTCATATTCAGTAGGTTGATTTTTTTAAATGCTTCATAAAAATGCAGAGCGCAACCAAGATATTTATTAAATCTTAAACGAATTTATATCGTAAAATTCTAAGGTGAATTAAGGCGATAATTATAAGACTTGTCGTGTGTAGCTATACTTTGCTAAAAGCAACATTATATTTAAGTACTAGCTAACCCGGCAGACTTCGTAGTGCCTCAATCGATAAATAAATTGTATACAATAAACTTAAAACAAACAAAAGGAATAGGTCCGACGGGGGACACATCAAAGGAAAAACAAAATTGTCATTTTTATTTAATTCCGAGCATTTTCATATTTATCTACCTTTTAAACCTTCTCTGGACTTCCACAAATAATTCAAGACCAGTGTTAGCTAAATCGGTTCAGCCGTTCTCGAGTTTTAGCGAGACTAACGAACAGCAATTCATTTTTATATATATAGAGATCTTCTTTCGTTTTCGCGAATCATAGACATAATTAAAACTGCTTTTACGGGTTAATCTCGCCTTTTTCTCGACGTTCCGAGCATACTGCGATTTTCGTGGTCACGGACGATTCTACGATTACATTGTTCTTTTTAAATAAATGCGATACTAATACAATTAACGTTGTTTAATTGGCTTCTCTTTAAATATGTTAGAAACCACTCGGCAGTGACAGACAGTTACGACTTGAAGTATTGTTTGCTCGTCTCGGATTGTGTGAATCGTTCGTTCGTGATGTCCAACTTAACTCGACGTATGACGCACAGGCACACAACAAAGCGATGGATTCACAAAATTCTCACACATATTGTATTCTATTTTATCATTCGTTGAAGAAGATAAATGTGTGTATGTGTGACCGTGGTGGATCCCCGTATTAAATTACGCTTTGTACAGTCAGATTTGTTCGCTGATCGA